TACTCTATCCAGCAACGCTATCATTCAAAAATACGTGGTGAAATAAAGAGCTTCCCAGACAAAAAAAAAACCTAAAAGAGTTTACCACCACCAAATCAGCATTGCAAGAAATGTTAAAAGGGACTGCTGTAATACGAAGTTGAAATAGAATGAGAAACATAGGCATAAAGAATTAAAACGGCAATAGGTAAGTACCTATCAATAATAACCTTAAATTTAAATGGATTAAATACTCCAATCAAAGAACATAGGGTAGCTGAATGGATAAGAAAACATGATCCAAATATATGCTGTCTACAAGAGACCCACCTCAGAACAAAAGACTCACACAGACTAAAACAACAGCAATAACGAAAACTTCTGAAGGACTTTGAAGGAGAGATTGAAAGCAATAGTGTCATAGTAGGGGACTCTAACATCCCACTGACTTTACCGGATAGGTCTTCCAGACAAAAAATCAACAAGGAACAGTGACTCTAAATGACACACTAATCAGATGGATTTAATCGACATTTACAGAACATTTCACCCCAAAGCTGCAGAATATGCATTCTCCTCAATTGCACATAGGACATTCTCAAAGATAAACCATGTGGTATGTTAGGACACAAAACAAGTCTACAAGTTCAAGAGGACTGAAATCATATCAAGCATCTTCGCAGACATTTACACCATGGAGTACTATACAGCTGTAAAAATAAAGGATCCCTTACCCTTTGAGACAGCATGGTGGGACGTGGAGAGTATTATGCCAAATGAAATAAGCCAGTCAGAGAAAGACAAGTATCACATAATCTTACTCATATGTGGAATCTAATGAAAAAATAACCCATGAACAAAACAGATCCAGAGACAGAAGCATGGAGCAGATTGACAAATCTCAGAGGGAAGGCAAGGGTGGGTAGAGAGAGATTAACCTAAGAACTTACATGCATATATGCATAACCCATGGACATAGACAAGTGTGGTGAAGGCCTGGGGGAAGGGGTGCAGGGGGGAGGGGATCAATGGGGGAAAAGGAGGACATCTGTAATACTTTCAACAATAAAGATAAAATTAAAAAAAAATTACAGTAACTAATACGTTCATTGACAACTTTTTTGTTAGTGGTTTGATGAACTTCCACTTTTTGCTAGGTGGAGATACCTTTAATTATTTTTCTGATAATACATGGTTACTATAAAGTTTCAAATCTGGAGGTAAAGTGAAAATCTTCCAGAGTTAACTACAATTTGTTATATACTGTAAAGGACATTAAAACAGATGATTGCCTATTTTCCCCCCAAACATTTATCTTCTCTGAACATAACACCTTACTTATTCCTTTGTCAAAATATTTACCTTTTATATAATCTTGACATATATAACCAGAAGTATGGTAACAGTTTTAAGAGATTTAAGTAAATCACTTCATGGCATTACTAATCAACGTTTCTGGTTATACAAAAGTAGAAAACTGTTGGGAGTACAGGATTAATTTAGGTATCTGGCAGTGGAAGTTTAAGTGAAGCAAGATTGGGCAGATCAGAGCCCCCTGGTCAGGGTTAGGACACTGAATCCCTGGTCAGTTCAAAAGCAGAGGGAGAGTCGCCATTGCATGGTTAAGTTGGATGTGGACACCAAGATTATGTAGATATTTCCTGACTCAAAGGAAACTGGGTCTGGGTTATACTTGCAGATGGGGAGACCATCAGGTATCATCAGTACCCATGGGAAGGGAACTGAAAGAAGCTGAGGGAAAAAACTTGGATAGACCAAAGAACATTAAATAGCTTTCTAAGAAATCTCTCAAAAATCCTCAGAACTAGATAGTTTTACATGAGTTTTTAACACACATTTAAGAAACAATAAATTCATACATTATAAAATTGTTCCAGAAAATAGAAAAATAGTAAAATCTGCCCATCTCATTTTATAAGGCTAGTGCAAAACCAGAAACCACTGAGAGAAACCAGATGAGAGAAATTAAGAAAATTAGCCCGGCTGGCATGGCTCAGTGGCTGAGTGTTGACACAGGTACCAGTTGGTCACTGTTCGATTCACGGTCAGGGCATATGCCCAAGTTGCGGGCTCGATCCTCAATGTGGGGCATGCAAGAGGCATCCAATCAGTGACTCTCTCATCATTGATGTTTCTATCTCTCTTTCTCTCTCCTTTCCTCTCTGAAATCAATGTATAAAAAGCATTTTGGGGGGTTCAATAGGTATTTATAATAAGAATACACAGCAAGCTAGAAATAGAAGAATCTTTCTTAACTTGTTAAACATATATTAAAAACCTTCAGCAAACATTATACTTATGTGAGAAACTAGATGCATCCTCATTAAGACTGAATGTAAGATAAAGATGCCCCATCACTACAACTGTTAAACACAGTTCCAAAGAAATTGACCAAAGATATTGGAAAAAGAAGTAAAAGTATCCAGATAGAAAGGATAGAAATAGAACTGTGATTATTTATAATCAATATATGATCATCTACCTAGAAAAAAGAACAGCCTATTAAGAATAAGAGTTCAATAACATTGCTAGGACCAAGATCAAGTTGCAAAACATCAGTGGCATTTCTGTATACTAGCAACATACATCAATAAAATATTTTAATTGAATATTTAAAATATTAATGTCTACTGAAAGAACATCACGCACAAAATAAAAAGGTTGAAAGAATGAAAACAGATATTTTTTAATATCTAAAACTGATAGGAAATGAATATCTGAAATATACAACAAACTCTTTAAAAACATTAATCAAGAGATAGGAACAAATATGAAAAATAGCGTTAAGAAGCAGTTTCAGAAGTGGGGAGGCAAAAAGCCAACAGGAATATAAAAAGATATTCAAATGCATTAGTAGTAAGAGAAATTCAAATTAAAACACTGAGCTATAGAGTTATACACATTAGACTGAAAATATTAGAAAGCCAGATAATGCAGAGGTGGGCAGCAATGAGGGGTTACTGCTGGTCAAAGCGTGGACCAAAGTATGGTACAGTATTTATTTGGTAGAGCATCTGGCAGGACTTGGTCAAATTAAGTATAAACATATATCCTATTATCCAGCACTTCAGATCCTGGGTATACATCCCAAAGAAATCCTAACGAAGTTCCATAAAAGGACAAGTGCGAGGATGTTCAACAAGGTATTGTTTGTTGTGACAGGAAATTTGGAAGCAATCAGAGTGGTAATCATTGGTAAATATGGATAGTTAACACACAGTAGCTACAAATCACAGAATACTATGCAGCAGTTAAAAGCAATGTAAAGACAACAACAGACATAAATAATAAAAACTAAGGTTAAGTAAAATGAAATAATAAGAAACAGAATGAGATACAGAGCACAATACCATTTAAGCATATTAAAATTTCATGTACACGAGTGGGGAAGGGGGCAGGATAGAGACATAGTTAGGACAAGCTCAACCATGAGGTCACTGCTGAAGGTAAAGATGGGCACATGGGGGTTCAAAATATTATTCTCCCTTTTCTTTTTTATTAAAAAATTTCCACTTAAAATATTTAAAAATACATGTATATAAAACAATACTCATACTACGAAAATACATAACAAAAGAGAACAGTGCAGTAGATATTATTTTAGACCATCATATGAGAATGGTTTCCTATAGGATGAAATCAGGAGCATGGGAGTGGAAATGATAATATATAAATATATAAAATAAGTGCTTTGCATAGACCGTGATGACAGTGTGCCAAGGACTGAGTGTGATTTACTCTGTTCCCTATGCAAAAAAAAAAAAAAAAAGATTCCTCTTTCTTTTTCTTAATCAGAAGGCTCCATTTTAAACACTGGAGAAGAAGAAGCTATAAAAATAACTGTCTAATTATTATAATTCAGGAAACAATTGAATAGCTGTTCCAAGTAACCAACTCACCATATATAACTGTACAAATGAATTAAAAATAAGTAATATTTATATCATTTATATTTTCAAGAGAAGTCATTTCTGACAATAGTCATCACAGAAAACTAGCAAAACCACTAAGCTGCTAACTACAAATTAAGGAGAAAAAATAGATTCTAAGTACTTGCATTCCAAAAGAAGAAAGAAACTTAGAACAAAGGAAAAAAATTCCTCTACCAAAGGCTATAAACTGTTTTATTTGGCTCACACAGTGACAAAAGTGGATTCTTTCCCCGCAAATTTTACGCTGATACTGAAAAATTAGGACTTTTCAAAATCTGTATTCTGCATTCTTTTGGGGAAAAAAATCATAACATATGATTTTACTGGTCTCTTACTTCTACTTAGAAAGAATTCTAGAGCTGAACAAAGGTGCCCCATTTACAGGTCACATACTCTCCAAGGTTCCACTGTACCCACCTGACATACAACATTATATTTTGTACCCCTCATATCTCACTCAAAATTTTACCAAAATGTATTCAGAAATTTGCTCAGTAATGTAAGCATGTAATCACTGGAGGCATGAACAGAACATGCTAAGTGAAAGGATATGGTAGGTCAAGACAAATCTTTGGGGCTTCAAGAAATAGTGAAAAGAGGTTTGGTATTCACAGGTAATCCTGTAAGTATCTGAAACTATGACAAGGTTTTTGGAGCTGTCAAAGAACAAGTTCTTAACGTCGTTAAAGAACAGATTAATGAATACATGACACAGAACGTGAAGTGAATAGTAGTTTTGTTTAATTATTCTTTCAAGTTAAACTCTACAGACTGAGTTGTGCTCACATAGTTGATGGAAGCTACTTCTCCATTCTTCTTAATTGATTTGCTCTCTTCCATTATAATATATCAATTTTATTAGCTGCCTGGGGTAAATAAAATCTGATACTTCCTGTCAAGATGGTGTGAGTGCATAAAAATTTGTGTCTGAATATGAATAAATGTGGTTGTAAGTTCGCTTAGACAGGGCCAGTAATAAAAAGTAAGCAAGTTTAGCAAGTCAAATTACAATCTAGCAACCTTAACCATTTAAATGAGATTATTTATGAAGGTACAGTTATTACTTACCTTGAGTGTCTATCTTTTAAAGATGTTGTCTGTAAACCATATAACCTTCAATATCTACTGCCCACACGCAGAAACTGATATTCTCAATAAGCATCTAAAAGAGAAACATAAGAGAATACCATAAATTTGAGGTTATAAATATGGTCTCATTTATTTTAAATGTAAAAGCAGATCTTGAAATTATTCTTTATGACTTTCTTTATTAAGTTTGTACAAAGGGAGGTACGTATCAAAGGGTATGTTTTATGTAAATAAACTGTAATAATGATGATATTTTCACATTAGAAGAACCAGAAAGTTCTATGGAACATATATTGTAATCCATGTCATTAAGTTGAGCACTTTGTATAATGCTAATTTTATTTGCCTGCCTAGTTCCTATACACTTTTTTAATGCACATAGCCACACTCCAGAAAATATTTTCCCTGTTCAAAATAGATAATTAAAAAGAATTCTTTAAAAAATATATATATATATCTTTCTCGATTTCAGAGAGAGGAAGGGAGAGGGAGACAGAGAGAGGGAAACATCAATGATGAGAGTCATTGACAGGCTGCAGCCCGCAACCCGGGCATGTGCCCTGATGGGGAATCGAACCCTGATCTCCTGGATCCTATAGGGGTCGATGCTCAACTGCTGAGCCATGCCCAGCTGGGCTAAAAATAATTCTTGATTACATCTGAGTTGCTTATAAATGCCAAAATCATAAAAATCAACTAATTAAATATATCTGTTCCCATGAAAAGGCAAAAATTCTATTTCCCTTATCAATTAAACTGCCCAATCAGTACTTTATACCAACCTAGTGAAGCTTAGCAGAGAACTTTAAAGAGAAATTGCCTATAAAAGAGAATTGAAATTACCCGGAGTAAAATGTTGCTGAGAAAAAGTGATTCTAATTTTCTTTGATTTTTTAAATGAGTCAGAGAAAAGCAGTTAGGCAAAACAGGATTTAGATGCTACAGTGCCACACCTTTAATATGTGGTTGGGAGCACTATGGATTCCCAAGCCAAATATCAATAATTTTTGGATTAGCAACATCACTTGTCTTTTTGGTCATTTGTGTAGATCCCTGTTTCTCAGTTGCAGCTGCACATTAAAAACACTTGGAACTCTTTAAAATATAAGACTGACTCAGCCTATTCCTTATTTTTATTTAATTGGTATGATGTGGGACAGGGGCCCAGGTATTTAAAAAATGCATTAAGGAAGTATATTTGTTCTTCAGGTAAAGAAATAATCACACTGCAACTATTTGCCTTAGTTTCTATAGATTAACTAATGAGACACTAACTACAAAAAACACACATAAAAACAACAACACCCACAACAATAATGTCTACAGAGGTCTATGAAAACTACTGAGATACTTGCTAATCTGACTACTAAATATTTAAAATGACTTCAATGCTTCATCACACACACACACCCCTATCTCAACAACTATGTAATATTTTAGATTATATGGATCCAAGCATGACATAAATGGTAGTTGCAGTGAATCCCAAACTATAAAGCACTTAAGGACCAAAGGTACTACTTTAAAATGTAAATTTCCAAGTAACATGCCCAGATATTCTGATTCCAAAGAACTACGCTAAAGCCATGGAGTCTCTATTTTTAAAGACATGTCTGATGATTATAAATGCAAAGGTCTACAGTCCCTGTAAAGTAGTACTCTAAGTACTTATGAACAGTGACTACTAATTGATCTTATTAGCATTTATAAAAATACCTTTTGTTTTATTCTAAGATTACATTTCTAATATTAAAAGATAATCCTGAGACCCACTAGGTAAAGTAAAAAATACTTTAAATATAGAGTAAATAAAACTTCAGCAATAAATCAATGTAGATAAGCTAAAATGTTTATGGATTATATGTTTTGTAAGCTTTGGTATCCTAAGTAAATTGTGCAGTAATCAATAAAATACTTGTGACAAAAAACACCTCATGACCCAAATCTAGGTTATATTCCAAAATGAAAATTTAACCTAGAACCTCATATATAACTAGAAACATGCCTTCAATATCTCATTTAAAAAATTTTTGTCCCTAACTTAATGGGGTTCCCAGCATCATTTTCTCTGTTTAGATACAAAGCCAACATTTTTTAAAAGAAAACGTGTCAAATCATTTCCCTCAAGAGCACACAGGCACTACCATAACTTAGTAAAAATAATATTAAATCAGCTGTTAGCATTTTAGTTTTGAAAATTCTTATAAACACGTCCAGAAATACTTCACAATAAAAATACTATATTCCTAGACACATACTCTTTAGATTCTTTCTGAAAAAGAAAAGTCTAATAATCAGAGATAAATATCTGAGTCTCTGTTATATATAATAAGGATGGTGATCTCAGTAACTACTTAACCTTTAAAGACTATACTTATTTTCTTTCACCTATGTAGTTTATGCTGCTAAAGATTTCAGATTTTTCCATTAAGTTAACATCAATCTTCAGTTTATGACTATAGTTAATTTTCCCGCCGTCCTAGTGCTGCTTAATAGCTGGTAAACAGTCATGGACTTCCCAAATGTCTCCATAAACAAGGAGCTATTCCACTTCCAAAATCTATAGGATGGGCTGCACATCTGCCTCTGTGGTTTGCAGTTTTGAAATGAAGTCCCAATATCCTTTGGCAAGACTCTTGATCTAGTACTATCTGATCCCAGCTGCCTTTTGCTCTTTATCTCTTACCTCTCGGTCAACCAAAACTTGGCTGAAACACTACTTCCTTGAAGGAAGTTTCCATCAATTTGACACTAAAAGCTCCCTTTCTCTTCTGATTTCCTACACTAATTATTGCAAATTACTTAGCTAATTAATCAGGTACTCACTTATGGTCCTTTATTTCTATCTTTTGTTATTTAGGATTTGGCATGTCTGTTTTTATTCCCTCAAGTAGATTGTAATTTTCCAGCAAGTACTAGACTAAAGCATTTAATAAATATGTTATGATTTTATTTGTTGGTCTTCCTAGTAATTGAGTATAGTATTTTACAATGACTGGGCAAGGAACTTAGCTTTTCTCTTTATTATACTCTATTACTATGAATGATTTAAAAATTGTAATCTCCTTCTGCTGCATGAACTTTCTCATCTTTTCTAGAACGACCGCAGCTAACTCTTTTAATGTCTCATAATCCAAGTAGTTTGGGTGAGCTGAGAGTAACAGCATATTAATTACCACTATTAATAACCACAGAATTAATAAGAATGAACATTTTTTTCAATAAATTGGGCTGTTTTAATATACTTAACACAGAAGTCATACGGAACATGGTTTAGTATTTCCTTAGGAAAACTACATCTTTTAATAAGAACCAGTAGCTCTAAATCACACAATACTCCACATCACAAAATAATTCAATCTATGTATACAATTAAAAAATACAAACTTCTAGATAATAGACACGCTAAGTATCTCCAACATTTGTCATATTAAGTTGCTAAGACTTCCTCCTTGTTTTTAAATACACTAATAAGAACATTTATTGATTGCTAAGTTCTAAGCAGCATTAATTACTTTCATGTCACAACAATCCTAAGAAGTGTTATTTTCATCTACCTTTTATATATAAGGAAATTGAGGGTCACAGNAGAAGTGTTATTTTCATCTACCTTTTATAGATAAGGAAATTGAGGGTCACAGAGGTTAACTTGCCCAAGGTTTTACAGCTAATAACTGGCAGACTTGGGTTCAAACTCATGCAGTCTACAATTGACTATAGTAATTCTTGAAGGCCTCATCCAATAAACTAAAATCTCCAGTAGCTCTGGAAGCCTAACCTAACATATCTTCACATAAATGTCTTCCTTACACCCTCCACCCTTTTGTAAGGTTTATCAGGTTTCCCACTGAAAGGAGAATGCCAGGGTGGTCCGCTTTCAATTTTCTTCCTCACAAAAAGATGATTTCTAAGTCCTCATTTAGCTCTACATACTTTCTATTATTTGTGTACAGTTTACATAAGAAAATCTCTGTGAGACTAAAGGTTACCCCAAAAACCTCAGTCTTGTTTCTAAATATAAGCCTATTCTAATTAAGATCCTTTAAGTATGGTTCAATAGTGGGCTATAAAATTTATGGTCTTACCTCATTTTTTTCCAATTTTTAAAAAAGAAACTGCTTTCTTAAAATATTCCTGCACTCCAAATTTTAAAATATGGCAGTTTTTATAGGAAGAAAATATGCTTTCTACTTCCCTGAACTATGGGGTTTATATCCAAACCTAAACTTTTACAGGTGATTGCTTTTATAGCATTAGCAGTCTGAAATTTCATAGCCCTCAAGATCCCATTCATTCTGATCTGATAGGTGACTTTTAAAAAATATTCTAATTCACAGATTTTTATATATGGCTGAATGGAAACAGATCATAGTAAGAAATTATAGAATAAAACAAAACCCCATAAAGTATTTTATTTAAACAGAAAACAAATATACAAAGAATTAAAAATATTTTTAGTCTTTGTTAGCTTTTTCAAACGTTCCAAATTTCTTCTGTATAATAAGAGCTCCAATTATAAAACCCATGGAAGATTTATTTTCTCAACTGTTTTTATCATAGAAAATAATCTTAACCTGAACACATTCAAGCCACTGATTAGTACCAGTTAGGACCATTATTAGGTTTATTCCAGATTACTCTTTTGGGGGACCCTGGATAACTTTTTTTATGGTCGTAATGGATTTTTTTGGTAAACAGTATAACAGTCCCTCATTGCGTATGCCTAAGGCACTTTCAAATACAAACCACTGGTAATTCTACATCCTGTCCACCAAATTAAGCCTTGTCTTTAGCCCTCTTGGGACTTATCCAGATAATCTGGTTCAGTAAAAAACTATTTTTAAAGTCCAAAGCACCTGAAGTTCTCTCTATGAAAGTTGACAATAACCAAGCTATTCAAGGTATTAATAGTAAATGATATATTTTCATTAGAGAAACAAAAAGGAGCAAAATCCTTTCTTTCTCATTTTCTCCCCCACCCGCATTCTCTAAAAATGTGCATTTCATGTGGACTGGGTCTTTCTTCAGCTAGAATAAATAATCCATTTGGTTCTGATAAACCACTTTTTTTTT